TAGGATACAGGGAAGGTAATGAATCACTTTATTTTTGAAAACTGTGAAGCAGACCCTAAAAAATTATATTACATATAATAAACAAGTCGTGAGCAAGGCATTAAAAATCCATTATAACTCAAAGCTCCAAAGAATACATACTCTGTGATTCCGTTTATATAAAATGCAAACCCATCTATACCGACCAAAAGCAAATCCATGGTTGCCAAGTGCTAGGGGAGAGATGAACTACAAAGGGGCACAGGGATCTTGTATGTGATAGAAATGCTCTATTATCTTGATTGTGATGGGTGTATGTAGCTGTAGGAACTGATCAAATAAAACACTTAAATGGATGGGGTTCATTGTACTCAAGCATTCCTCTATGAACCTAGGGGGGAAAAACACAGTTACAGCTTAAATATATTAACCAGACATTTGTTATGTATTTAGGTGTGAATGAAGAAGTTATGCAATGACAGCAGTTTTAGAGAAGCAAAAACCAAACTCATAGTTTCCTCTTTTCATGTGATGAGCTCAGTATCTATAAACACTATCAATTCTTTCCCCCAGAAGTTATGTACAGGCCCAACCTCATTTCATTATTTTCCCTCACCCCATTCCCACACTCTCTAACTCCTCCCATTTCCTCCTCACCACCACTGGGAGGGTGTTCATTTTCTTCATCTCAGTAGTGGGAAGAACGTTACCTACCTCATATGCACATATAACACTTGACACATAGCAAAATAGCCTTAACTATTTTTCTACACATTTATGCTCATGGAAAGCAGAGTCTGTCTAATGTATCTCTGCATTTCTCACTGTATTTAGCAGAAGGTACAATATACAGTAGCCCCCCCAAATAAGTACTTCTTCAGAGAAATGTCTGTAGTACCCCGAAATTCAGATATGGATGGGAAAGACACCACCACGCAACATCAGGGAGAATCTGAAGAGTTACCTTCAAGACATACATGTTCTGTGCAATTTGAAAAGAATGATCGGTGATGACTGAAGGAATTAAGAAGCATGTCTAAGAGAAGGTGACACTGAGGTCGCCAAAATCTGAAGGGGACCAAGGGGAGGTTGCACATCTACTTCCCTAACCGGTATTTGTAAACACTGCAAAATGCAAGTCCAAGAGGAAAATCTTTAATAGTGACACCAGGATAAGTCTTAATAGTCAAATACTGTAAAAAAGGCAAGCAAACGTGGCTCTAGAGAGACAGGCACTGGATGCAGAAGATGAAAAGGAGCAACTTTTCCTAACGACTGCACAATCCCAACAGCGTTCCCAAAACCATTTGACATCCGATCTAGATACATTCTAGACGCTCAAGACGGAGTAAGATTTAAGGACAAAATGAGGAGATCTAAATATCAAGATCCCTGTGCCACTAACACTGGGCGTTACGAGGATTCGGAGGGCTGCCACCTTCCTGAGAAATGGACTCTCGAGGGCAGGTATAGTAACTGTTCCAAGTCAGACGTGGTCCAAGGAAAAGGCAGTGCAGGCCCCTGGGGCCAACAGTCCGAGGAGGGCTGTGACCTGCTGAAAGCAGCAAAGCGGCATTTGTGGGGCCTACAAGCCGCCTTCCCGAGCACCCCCGGTGCAGGGAGCTGCTCAATCTAGCCTCCGGGTTGCACGGGAGTCGCTGCGATGGGAGGAACCCCGAGTTTGCCGCCTGGCGAAGTCTAACACAATGAGCAACCCCAACTCCCACTCACAAAGCGCGCTCGGGTGTGCATTCGCTCCTCAGCCTCATTGGGAGGAAGGGAAGGGGAAGACGGGCTTCCCGCGCCACTCCCGGCAGGCCCCAGATTAACTAGGGGCTAATAATAATAATTAATAATAATAATAATGGGTGAGGCGGACCAAGCGATGGTCGAGGCGTCAGCCCGGCTTAGGGGCTCAGGGGCTCAGGGGCTCAGGGGCCCAGGGGCCCAGAGGCCCTTAGGACCCTCAGGACCCGCAGTGGCAGCGCCCAAGGGACTAGAGGAGCCCGGGGAAACAGCGGGCGGCCAACCTCACCTGCCGCTTGTTCATCCGCCGCACATCGTCCAAAAAATCTAGAGACAGCATGGTGGGGGCCGGGAGGAGGCACCC